TATTTAGTGTCATATTTTCATTTAGTTCTGATAAATTAAGATCATTTTTTATATAATAAGCCCAAGTCTTCCTAGGTCTACTTCTGTCTTTCTTAACATAAGTCGAATCTAAAACATCTACTCTCCTAATCAGATCATCAGATGGTCGACACTTAATGTGACTAAACCATCTAAAACGACTTTCTCTGATTTTGTCTGTCACAGGAGCTACACCAACCCTATCACAGATATATTCATTTTGCATTTTGTCTCTATGTGTAAAGCCACTCTTCCACCTAATCATTCTCATCTCGGCAACGATTAACTTAGTATTTTGCTTCTCTTTTAGAGACCAACATTCAACGCTATAGAACATTTCAGGTCTCACCACCGAGAATTTTCTTTTCAGTCTATGCGATACTTTTCTATCACACAATAAATCCGAAGCATTCCTCCACTTCAACCAACCAACTTGAATTCTATTATTAACATCCCCATCTATATCACCATCACTTTGAACAACAGACCCAAGATATCTAAATCATTCACACATTTTAATAATTTGATCACCCCAAAGTTACACTTTTGTCACTAGAGCTACTACTACTAAAATTACATTCCATGTATTCAGTTTTAATTTTGCTCAAATGAAAGCCTTTAGACTCTAATGTAGACCTCCATAATTTAAGTTTTTTTTGGGATTTTTCTCTCATCTTATCCACAAGGATTTTATCAGCAAAAAGCATACACCAAGGTACATCCTCCTGTAAATGTCCAGTAAGACCATCCATAACTAAAGCAAAAAGATATGAGCTTAAAGCCGATCCCTGATGTAATCCAACAAAAATAGGAAAGTATTTGGTCAATCCTCCTTCAGTTCGAACACAAGTAATAGCTCTAGCATACATATCTTTAATAAGTTGAATATAAGTCATCAACACCTTTCTTCTCATGAACTCTCCAAAGAATATCTCTTGGAACTCTTGGAACCTTATCGTAAGAATCGTAAGATTTTTCTAAATCATTAAAAATCAAATGTAGATTCTCCTTATTATCTTTGAATTTCTCCATCAAACTTCTCAATAAATGTATAACTTTCCTAGTAGACCTGCCCGACATAATCTAAATTGATTATGAGAAATCTTTGTAATACGTCTTAACCTACGTTCAATTACCCTCTCCCATAATTTAAAGTATGACACATCAACTTAATTCTTTTATAATTTGCACACTTTTGTGCATTCCTTTTATTCTTAAAAATGGGTACCAAAATACTCTTCCTCTACTCCTCAGACATATTTCTAGTTTTTAAAATAATATTAAAGAGTTCAGTAAGCCAATAAACTTTCAAATCTCCTAAACATTTAAATACTTCAATTGTGATATCATCAAGTCCTATAGACTTTCTACCCTTGGTTTTCTTTAAAGTCTCATCAACTTCTTTTTTATTAATGCGATGGTAAAAATGAAATTTTTTATTATTATTAAAGATATTAAAATCACTAAGGTCGATCGTATTTTCAGAAACTTCATTAAAAAGTTTATCAAAATAAATCACTAACTTATTTTGAATATATTTTTCTAAGAAAAATACTTTTTGATTTTCATCTTTAATACACTTTACTTGAGTTAAATCTTTATTTTTCTTTTCTCTTTGTATGGCTTGTTTATACATATATATTTTCACACTTCTTAGTATCCAATCTATTATAAAGATCATTAAAACAGAATTTTTAGCGTTATGTATTGTTCTTTTAGACTCCCTGCGGACTGCTTGATATTTTTCCAAGTCTCTAAGATTTTACATTCAAACTAATTTTTATAACTTAACTTCTTATATTTTATCTTTTCTTCCACATTAATATTTCACCACCAACTATTTTTATTTAATTTTTTTTTTATTCTTCAAGTATATCTTTTGCTACTTGTTTATTAGTATTTATTACTTTATCCCACGTAATATTTGTTTCATCATGAACATCCCAAATTTTGAAATCTTGAAATTTACTCATAAAAATAATTTTATTTGTCTTTCAAGTTCAGTTATGACATTTTTTATTGTATTCTTTATCTTCAACTCCTCGTCTTAAAATTCAAAACTAATAATCAATATTGGAATCTAGAACTAATAAACGATGTTGGGTACTTAAATTCTCACTTGGAATGATCTTACAATATTTACAATATCGACGATCTCTTCTTCTCATAAGAAAATAATCAATTTTTGTTTTATTAAACCCATTCTTATAAGTAATAAGATGTTCATATCTTTTCTTTGAATAAAGTATCAGTAATAATAAAATCTATAAGTAATAATATGCTTATCTCTTTTTTTGAATAAAGTAT